AAAATTATAAAATATTTACAACAAAAATAAATAAAAGAGCATGCACATTATAAAAAATCATTTCTGAAAACTGTGTTTAAAAATCTAAAACATGTATTAAAAACTTCATAATTTGTGCCTAAAAAACTTTTTTAAAAAAACATATCTGGGTAAATTTAATTTTATAAAAAATAAGTTAATATGTAGTATATCAAGTAATGATTTCACCCTTGATAAAGTGTAGAATGATGGTTCAAGAATTTCATTATACTATTAGTATTTTAGACATGGATGTACTGAAACCCAGGCAACTCACTATTTAAGCGTGACATCAGAGTTCCTAACTAAGTATGCTGCTAAGAGCTGTTACATTAACTAAGAGTTTAGGTTAAGAAGGCAATAATTTTTTCATAATTTGTTGAAAAAATTGTATGAATTTAGGTAGGTAATATATATATATATATATATATATATATATATATATATATATATATATATATATATATATATATATATATTTTAGGGTGTCCCAAAAACACACTTTTTAAAAATTTCAATGTGCTCTCAACTGATCCCCATTGTATAGGTCCTAAATAGCTACCAAAATCTTTTTTTTAACTTTTTAATGACTAGAAGTGATAAATGTAAATTCTGAGTTTTACGGTTTTGTACACAAATGTGTATTTACTAAAAAACAGCGCAATCTAGCATTTCAATATGTTTTAATATGATGTAATAATTAGTACACAAATAATTCCCATAGGATATTATTAAAGAATAGGATCATTCCCTTTGAACATTGTTAGCAATTGATATTTTTCCCTCTGGACAATATTATTAGTTGGAATAATTCCCCATGGATTGGTTCACAAATAACTCCATTTAGAAATTTTTTTTGAAGGAAAAAATTTCTAAATGGAATTATATGTGCATGACGGAATTCTAATTTGTGCACGAAGAAATTCTCGTGTAAACGGTTATAAAAGCCGTAACGGTAAACTTAGATAAAATATTATACGAGAGGGAATAACGACTTCATAGATTTTTGATGCAAGTGTAACATTTAGTAAAAATTTAGTTAAAAAACTGATTATTTCGAAATTCATATAAAGATGGGTAGAACAGCTAAAAAAAAAAAGATGATAGGACAGAATAAGAAAAAAGGAAAAAATACAGAAAGGTTGAGGTATATTTATCTATTGAAGTACCCACTGAGGGAGTTACCTCAGAGACAGCTTCCATCTAATGGTGATATTCTTAGATACTATCAATTTATCCTTCGCGAGTCACAAGTTAAATACAAACCCACTTCTACTATTGTTGGTTGCAAATTGAAATCGAAATCCAAGGATCTTGTTTGTGAAAATGGTGTTTGTACAGATCCTGATAATTCTTGCTTGGTATCTAGGATTAAAAAAATTTGGGATAATGCTGGGTTTGGCAAGAAATTTGTGATTTGTGGGTACAATATAAAGACCAAAATCATTAAACTTAATTTAAAATACAAGAAATTGATTAAATTGTCTTCTCTAAACTGGAACAGCAGTCTTGATAAGCAATCAAAGTTCGAGAAAGATTTTCTCACAGAATCCTATCAGCTTTTTGACATCTCGACTAAGAATTTTAAAAAAGATATTCTTGCTGATAGATTGAGAACAGATGATGCCAAGCTGGAAGATATAAAGTAAGTTCATTAAATAACACTTTTTTTAGTAGTGAGATTTTTTTTCCAATTAAAAGTAACTTAATAGCATATTATTTCCTTTAAAATATTTACATTTAACTCTTTACATGGTTTGGTCATCTTCCAAGAAAAACTAGAACAATTATTTATTTATTTATAAATGGCTTAATATATTTAAATATTTCTTAGTTTTTATGAAGACCAGAAGTTACATAGGAAAGGATATATGGAAACAAAAGTCGATGAAGACTACAGTAGAAGAGTACTGGATGCAAACAGGAGAAAGAACAAGCTAGATAAGTTGAGAGAGAAAGAATTAGAGAGACAGAAAAACTTAAAAGATATCGATGATGTTTTGTTGTCACATGACTCCATGATAGAAGAGATTCAATTCAGCAGTGAGGAAGAAAAGTCAAACGAGGACTCTAAAATCAGCGAGGAAGATGATTTCCTGGGTAACGGTCGGAAACGCAGGTATAATATTATTTTAATAACATAGTTGTAATTTTCACAAGCTAAAGCTGTTTTATTGAAAAGTATATAATTATAAATAGGTAGAAAAATATTATAAAATGATACCTAGGTACAATTCTGGAGATAGGATAAATCTAGCAGTGAATGTTGAAAAGCTCATTGTATGTACTGCTATTCCAGCAACAAGGTTCAATGTTGGTGTACGACCTCATCTGGCAATTTTAAGTGAAGTATTTAAAGCTGGAGGTATAGAAATTAATGATATACCGCTTTCACGAAGCACACTTCATAGAAAAAAGTTCAAATATGTAGAACTTTAAGGAGACTCGGAGTGGATTTCAATATCTAATCATCTTAAAGGCCGACGGCTTATTCTTCATTTTGATACCAAACTGATGGAACAAATTACCACTGGGCTTAACATTATTCAAAAAATTGAGCGACTTACAGTCTCAGTGAGTTCCCCGGATGACGATACCATGGAAGACCATCTTTTAGGTGTTGTTCAATGTCCCTCTTCAAAGGGAATTGACCAAGCAGAACAAGTGCACAATCTTTTAGAATATTACAGATGTAAAGAGCAGATCATTGGAATATGCTGTGATACAACTGCAAGCAATACAGGCGGAGTAAATGGAGCAGTCCAAATTCTTACAGATATTTTGAAATTACCAATTTTGTGGATAATGTGTAGGAGACACATATATGAAGTACATGTATCTCACTATATGGCTGCCCTTACTGGTGAGAAAACTAAAGGTCAAAGAAGAGCTCTTTATGTCAAGCTAAAGAACAAGTGGCCTGAAATCTGTGAGAAACTGAATGAAGTGAAAAATTTATGTAAATTGGACTGGCAAAGAGATGATCTGAAGATTGGCTCTGTTCTTCGCACTGTTGCAGAGGAAGCTAAGACATTTTTGACTAATGCAACTACTGATATAGTGTTTTCAAGGAATGATTATGGTATAATTTGTAAGCTTGCCTCCTTCTTCCTTGGAGTGGAAGTACAAGATTTTAAGTTCCATCAACCTGGCGCCTGCCATGAGGCAAGGTTTTTAGCAGATGCGATCTACATCCTGACTCTTTATATGACTAAAGATATCAGTAATATCTTGACAGAAAAAGAAATGCTGCAGTTGAAGGATGCAAGTTTGTTCATTGCAATTTGCTATGTTCCATGGTTTTTAAAAAGTTTTTTAGGATTTCTGGCTCCCTACAATGATTTGAAAGCTATCCAGACAGCCTATGCATTGAGAAAAGTTAGTAAAAATATTGGAAATGCTTTGCTTCTCAGCATGGGACGCCATACGTGGTACTTAACTCCGCAAGTCTGTGTTTTTTCCTTTGGGGATAAGAAGTTCCTTCTGAAACAAAGCTAAGAATGCTGTTAGCTCTGATTGAGTTTGAAGAGCCAAATGAATTTCAGCGTTGTAAACCATCAAATGCACAAATTGGAGAGACCACAGAGCTACCTGAGTTGATTTCCAAGCAAAGCTACCTTCTCTTCAAACATTTTAAAATATCAAGAGCAAGTATAAAAGAATGGCTTAATAATAGTCTTAATACTATAGATGTTTTTAACCATCCTCAGTTGCTAGATTTTATTGCATGGATCAAAAACATATCTGTTGTAAATGATGGTGCAGAAAGAAACATTAAGCTCATTAAAGATTTTATTTCAGCTACTAGAGATGAAAATCACCTTCAAAATGTACTTTTTGTAGTTAAAAAGTCTAGAAAAAACTTGACTAAGACTATGACTAAAAAGGAGCTTAGGAACTGTTCAAAAAGTTGTATTTTTTGAGAAATGTTTCACCGCAATAAAATCTTAAATTTGCTAATAAATATTAGTTTTCATGTATTTTTTTTGTATTTTCATATTTATAAATATAATCTAACAAGTTAAATAGTAGAAAACAATTGGAAATGATTTATACCTATCTAATTGTTTTGTTTTAATTTTCTAAAATGTGTTTTCTATTAATGTTAAGCTAGCTTAACATTAAAACTGTAAAACTCAGATTTTACATCTAGCACTTCCTGTCAAAATAAAACCGTCAAATTTTTTTTAGTACTTATTTAGGTCACATAGAATGGGAATCAGTAGAGAGCTTTTTTTTTTTTTTTTGGGACACCCTAATATATATACATATATAATAACAATAATTCTAAAAGAAATAGTGATTAAGTAAAAAATAAAAAGTAATAAAACTGTACTGTTATAAGATCAACACCCCACTCCTTGACCAGCGGAATAATTTTGTGTGCAATTGATTTATTTTCCTGAATCCCTGTTCTCATTTTAATTGTTATAGGAACATCAGACACCTAAAAAATATTTGTATAAAATTTAACTTTTGTTGCTTTTTCAAGAGCAAATAAAATTTCTTTTATTTTTTATTTAAAAAGAAAAATTCAATCTTATACATATATATGTATTTATATGTATGCATGTATGCATGTATGTATGTATGTATGTATGTATGTATGTATGTATGTATGTATGTATGTATGTATGTATGTATGTATGTATGTATGTATGTATGTATGTATGTATGTATGTATGTATGTATGTATGTATGTATGTATGTATGTATGTATGTATGTATATATGTATGTATGTATGTATGTATGTATGTATGTATGTATGTATGTATGTATGTATGTATGTATGTATGTATGTATGTATGTATGTATGTATGTATACAACCCTTGGAATTAGGAAAAGATCAGCAAAAAATTGTCAACCTAAAACATCAGGTCAGCATCTTTTTTTTCAAATATCAACATTTGGTTAAAAATTTGAAAAACAAACAAGTTTAGTTGAATTTTTTTTATCTATTTAATTTAGAATTAATAAAAC